GTTTAGATTATTCAAAAAAAAAATTATATTGATTCGATAATTATAGTTATATAATTTTATTATATTTATTTTTTAAAAATAAATGTCAATTATAATTTAAAAATACACAATTATTTTTTAAAACAAATATAATAACAATTATCAGATTAATATAATATTTTTTTTGATAGATGACCTACACAAAAATGAGACTCCATGGGCCTGTGATAACGTCATGATCCAATAACACCCTCCAATCCACTAAAGACAAATCTAAGCCTTTGTTTTTTATTTATATAATATATATATATATATATATATATCAAACTCAAGTATTTGTAAACTTATTTTGAAATTATTTTTTTTTTAAAATGCGATTTTATTAAAGTCATTTTTAAAATATGATTTTAATTAACTTTTCAAAAATATTTTAAAGTCACGTTTAAAAAAAAAAAACCTCAAAAAAATAACTTGAAGTTGGGAAAAAATTCAGAACAACTTACATTTTAAAAAAAACACACATTATCATTAAGGTCGCATTTTTAAAATACGACTTTAGCCCAGTTGGTTTTAAGTTGGGACTTAGGACTAATAAGCACATATGAAAAAAAAAAAAAGCTACAAAATTAAAATGACAAAACACTTGACTTTGATGCAAAATTATCAATTGACCATATACAACAAAAAGTCAAAAAAGCCTATTTCAATGAAGGCAATTTTGTCTTCTAATGCAACAAAGCAAACAGAAAACAAACGAACAAAAAAATCTCAGCTAAAATTTTTTTAAAAAAAGCCAAAAAAACCAACATTGTGAAACGTAACTGTTAAAAACATTTTAAGTCGCGTTTTAAAAGTAAGACCTCAAAAAAACACATAAGTTAGGAAATAAATTTAGAACAACTTACATTTAGAATAAATAAAATTATAAGAACTCAAATTTGGTAAATGAGCAGTGAAAACTCATTTTAGTATTCAGTTCTATAATCAGTTACAAGCATCTATCTATCTATTATCTATCTATCTATACTATTATAAGTGAAACTCTTATGGTGTCCTGAGTTCTTGTTTTCTTTGTGCCACGTGTCCAATTTTTTATTTAAAATTAAAAAAAAAAATTAGATAGATGAGTGGATGAGACTTGAACTTTAACTTTTGTCAAATGAATAAGACTCTTACCACTTAACTAGCACACAATATATGATAAATATTTATTTTATTTATATTATTTGAATGCACACGCATCCGTGTGGAACCGTAGTTTATATATATACAGTTTGTGAATCACTTTATATGTATATTTCAATTCAGGACTGAAAATATAGTTTGTTGAGCTAAATAACAATGACCAACCAAACTTAAAATTACAATTACATAATAAAGATACTTATATTATATGAAATATGATGAATGGATTAAAGGATTCAATTAATGTTACCTAATAGATTGATATAGTCTTGAATTTTTACTATAACTAACTAGATTTTCTACTGTCAACAGTTAGGATGGCTAGTGCTTTGGAAACTCTATGTGGACAGGCATATGGAGCTCAACAATCAAAAACTTGGAACTCAAATCTCACACTGCTATTTTCTCCTCATCATTGTTTGTCTCCCCTCTATATAATCTGATCTATATGGGAAATACTCATTTCATAGCCAGACCCTTTAATTCACGTGAGCCGTAAATTCATAATTTGTTTGTTCCCCGCCTCTTTGCTTATGCATTCTTCAACACTTGTCCGATACTTCAAATGCAAGTTTATCATTCCTATGCTCATAAGCTCATGTGCCACTCTGCATTGCACATACCTCTTTGTGGGTTCTAGTGTTCAAGTCCGATTGAATAACCTTGAGGTGCGTTGGCGATTGATATTTAAATTGGTTGAATGTGATCTTCTCGTTTTGTACATGAAGTACTCTTCTACTGTGAAAACCCGGGTCCCAATTTCAATGGATGTGGTACGAGAGTGGAGAGTTCTTGCTTTGATTCCTTCTGCTGTTATGATTGTAATTTTATTTGCGAATTTCTTAAATAGAGTTTCAAGGCTTTTGTTTGCTACATATTTCTGATTTTAATTGTGATGAATGCAGTCTCGAGTGGTGGTCATTTGAGTTTCTTAATCTTGTTGTCTGGACTTTTGCCAAATCCAGAGCTCGAAACTTCTGTCTCTCTGTATGGTATGTGCTCTCCATAATGTTGATGATATGATTTGAATGTTCTAAACTGTAATTCAAATTGTGATTTTGAGTTTAAAGTAACTACTCTTACTTCTTTGTCAATTTCATGAACAGTCTCAATACGATCGCTACACTCTACCAATACTTATGGCTTTGGTTGCTCTTTAGTATGCTCATGCAATATGTGCACTTGTACAGTAAAAAATGTTTTCTCCACATATATGTATGATTGCAATCTATAGTTCTTTTTTTTTTTTTTTTCTTTAGCACTAGAGTTTCAAACGAATTAGGAGCTGGAACCCACAAGGGCACGTATAGCTGTATTTGCCGTGATGTTCTTACAATCACAGAGACTACAATAGTGAGTGCAACCCTCTTTCACCCGAAGCATTTTTGGGCTATACTTTTAGCAATGAGAAAGAAGTTTGTGATTATGTCACAGCCATGCGCCTCTAGTTTGCCTATCGGTTATATTGGCAGCATACAAGGGTCCTTCAGGTTAAATTTTGCCCCTCAACGTCATATCTAGTATTTATATATTTGAATTTAAATGATAATATCTTTTACACTAGCTAACTCTTCTTCTTCTTCTCTTATTTATTATTTTTTTCATTAGGTGTTGCTTGCAAGGGGATGTGGGTGGCAACACATAGGGGCTTATGTCAACCTCGGAGCATTCTATCTGGTTGGAATTCCTATTGCTGCCATATTGGGTTTTTGGGTACAATTAAGAGGAAAAGGCTTGTGGATTGGAATACAAGTTGGTGCTATTGTGCAATCAATTATGCTTTTTCTAATAACAAGTTTCACAAATTGGGAAAAACAGGTTCATTTTCTATCTCACATCTCTTCAAGCTATTTATTTGGTTTAACTGGACAATACATTTGAAAAGCAATCGCTTGACTAAGGAAAAATTAAAGGAGAAAAAATGTGGAATGTTGAAAGTCAATTTCTATCCATGGAGATCCTAATTTTCTTTCACTTTCTTCATTCGTTTTAGCAAATGAATGGAGTACCAACAATGATGAAATGGGTACTGTTTTTATTTTTATTTTTTAATAATTTGATTCATATAAGATATTATTACAATGAAACTTAATGAATTACAATTATAGTAATGAAAATCAAATATAATATAATTTTTTTTACAAATAAACTCCCAAAGTGAGACAGAAAATTCCAATTAATATATGAGAAATAAGACTTACATGTATGTGGGGAGCTTCGAACTATTGATCTCATACTGAGGTGTAGGATTTCTACCCAATAGGACTAGCCCTGTTGGTTATGAAATGGGTATTCACCATATCTAGTAAAATTGATTTTTATGAAATGCAAAGAGCTAGTAGGCCTAGATAAAAGATCATGACCAAAGATTTGGATTAAAACTAGAAGCGGGTTGGTTTTTTGATTTTTTTAGCCTGGATTAAAAAGTTTGGTTTCGGAAGGACTTTTTGATTTTTTGACTTTTTTGACCTTTTTTGTGAGAGAATAGTATAATAATTATGGGTTGGATGTGATGTTTTGTTGGTTGTAGCTAAAATAGCCAAAAAATACCTACAAACCTTTTTCCCAAACGGTGCCTTAGTCTGAATTGTTTGGCATACAATTAATTAGTCTTTTTTTGTTTTTTCTAAATTACGTCAAAGTTATTTACTTTTTAAGTCCATTTTGTATAAACAAATTTAAACGGTAAAAAATAAGTTCAAAAATTACTGTGAGTTTTTTGGATTAAGTTTTTTGAAAATTGAGTTTTTTAATTTTCGTGTTTTTTTGTTTTTAGTTAATATTTTTAAAATTTTAGACATTTTTTTTTTACTTTTTTAGATGCACCTTACTTAGATGTATCTAAAAAGTAAAAAATTTGTGAAAAAATATTTTAAAAAATTAATAAATACATAAAAATACAAAATATGTACGAAATTCTCGTTTTTTTTTTTTTGTATTTTTGGTATTTAGTGAATTTTTAAAAGGTTTCTTTCACAAATTTTTTACTTTTTAAGTATATTTATGTTAGGTATGTCTAAACAGTTTTAAAAAAAAATGTTTAAAATATTAAAAAAATTCAGTAAAAATAAAAAAAATACGAAAAATAAGAAAATAAAATTTTCTGAAAAGAGGTTTTATAAAACTTTAACCAAGCATGCTGATTGCTTTTAGCTTCTCTTTTTTTTTTTTTTTTTTTTTTTTTTTTCTCTCTATGTTGTATCTAGTATTTTTTTTTTCAAATTTAAAACAAAAGTTAATTTTTCTGCCTATCTTGTCTAATTGAATAGAATTCATAAGTGTAAAATATTTTGAATTTAAAAAAAAAAAAAAAAAACCACTAATGACAAGGTGAGTAGCGAAAAAGCCACTAAAAAGTCCATCCAAACAGTATATTAGTAGCAATTTCTTTGGTAGGACCGGACCAAAAACCTTGCACCCAAGAAGAAGAGGAAAAGAAAGAAAAAAAAAATTGCAACGACTTTATATGATTTTGGAAGTATTTTTGTTAAATTTTACCATTTTAATAGCATTTTGTTGGGGACAATTTATAGTTTCAATTTAAATACACTTTTAAGTCTAGTTTTAATTTGGTTCTTTCGTCTATATTTTTGTTGATTTTGTCTACATGTACACCTTAGTAAATTGACAAATATTTCAAAATTTTTAATTTTAACATTCAATTTAAACAAAAGAATCAAATTGAAACCTTAGTAAATTGACCATCAAAATTATTAATTTTAACCTCCAATTTAGTTTGGAAGTATTTTTGTTAAATTTTACCATTTTAATAGCATTTTGTTGGGGACAATTTATAGTTTCAATTTAAATACACTTTTAAGTCTAGTTTTAATTTGGTTCTTCCGTCTATATTTTTGTTGATTTTGTCTACATGTACACCTTAGTAAATTGACAAATATTTCAAAATTTTTAATTTTAACATTCAATTTAAACAAAAGAATCAAATTGAAACCTTAGTAAATTGACCATCAAAATTATTAATTTTAACCTCCAATTTAGATGAAAGGACCAAATTGTTTGAATTGAAGCTAGAAAATTAAAGTGAAATTTGAGTCCAACTATTAGAGTGAAAATTGCAATTAACCAAAAATAAGTAACAACAATATAACTTTCAAAGTAGTCAATCAAATTCTTTTGGACAAATGAGATCCGATTAACTTGATTTTTGTCGTAAGAAGGGTTATATAAAATGGATAGTTCAGATCACTATAACAAATGAACGGTTCGACTTACTACAACAAATTTTAGAGACACAAATTTAAGAACGAAATATCTTAGTTGCCGAAAAATTCATTGTTGTATTTTTAGCGATGAAACTAGACATTTAATAATAATTACTATCCTTTTAGAACAAAATATTCATTTCAAAAAGTAAACTGTTTTGTCATCAAATTATTTTGTTTCTAAAAATATATTTATTAGTGACATTTTTAAATTATCACTAACAACCATTTTTTTACTTTTTCAAATTACATTTTCATGACAATTGAAATTTGTATCCTAATATTTTTCGCGATAATATTTTCACTTTTAAGAGTGAAAATGTTTTCCTTGAAACTTTTAGGGCCATTGAAAAGACTTATTTACCTATAGGGAAAAGTTTCTCTTCAGTCCACTGTGTAGACTAAAACATACTGTTGGGCCCGTGAAGCCTATCATGGATCCATTGAGGTGATCTGAACTGTTCAATATGTAGAGCTCATCGATTACTTCATATCTGCAAAAAATCACGTTGATCAGATATTAGTAACTCCTTGATCAGAACATATTTTTGTCAATGGTAAATATGATTTTAAAAAATAAATTGTTGACACAAATGTATTCCAATCAAGGATCTACATATATCTAATCAACGTAATTTTATATAGACATGAAATACTCGACGAATTCTACATATTAAACGGTTTGGATCATCAAAATGACAAAATGAGACACATAGTGAGCCCCACGGGCCCAACAACACACTCTAATCCACAAAGTGAACTAGAGAGAAGCCTCTCCCTTACCTATAAGTCCAGCTCATTTTTTCACTTATCAATATCCCTAAAATACCCTTACTTCACCTTCTTCGTACCTATTATTAACACTATGATGATTCTCTTCTATTTCACCAGCAACCACCTTCGGCGATAGTTTTCGGCAACACTTTTTTGATTTTTATTAATAAAAATAACATCTATCACCACATCAGTACTCCCCCCAATCAATCATTCATTCATATTTACATGCACTTTCACTTACATAAATACAAAGATAAATTACAAATACACTCCTTAAAATTTGATTAAAATACGAATCGCCCCTTATGGTTCTGGAAATTATATTCCACCCCCTGAGGTTTCTAATTTCATAACAAACCGCCCATTTTATTAATAAATCATCAAGTCAATTAACAGTTTTTAATGATGTTAGAAATATGTTTTAAATAATAATTTAGGTAATTTTATTTTTGTATAAAAGAACAATTATGAATTTCATTTTTTCAGTTAATTTTGTTAAATAAAAAATTCTAAGAAGTGGGTATTTGTAATTTTTTGTATTACAAGAGATAATCTCTATTTTAAGCAAAAATCCTAGGGGTTGTATTTGTAATTTATCCTAAATACAACTAAATAGGCATATATAACCCAAACTAATCTAATAAATTTATTAAAAACACGTTCAGTGATAAATTTATCACTAATCGATTTTTTAAAAAATTACAAATAAATTCAATTTACTCACTCTTGCTTATGTTCTTTGAGGAGTTTATTGCAGGCAACTCAAGCGAGGGAGAGGCTATTGGAAGGAAGATCTCAGCAAATAGTGGATTAATGTGAAATGGGGGAGTTTTTGGGGCGTGATTATAGCTTATTTTGATTTAAAAATTTGCGCCAGATTGTTTGGTACAGCTTCTACTTATAATTTATTAGGCAGAAATAGTTTAAATAAACTGAAAAAAACTGACTATTTAAAAGTTGGGATAAGAATGCTTTTAACTTTTATTTTCTGATTATCAGTTTTTAATTTAAAAAAAGTTTCACCAAACAAGGCCATAGATTGTTACTGAATTAGTCTTTTAATCTTATTTTGTAAAATTAAAAGCATCACTAAAAATTAAAGAAATGAGATTCATGCCTCAATTTTTCATTGTTCTTGATAGCAGAACATGAACAAAATTCACATAACACTTAATTTTCATTTCATCATTAATTTGTTGGTTATATGAATAAAAAAAAATCTTTTTACATACAAAAATGTAAATTTATCTTGTATTTTCATATTATTAACATTCATTTTAGTTCCTTTTAACTTTATTAAAACAACAATACTACAAACTCAGATTTAACTATTCAAAAATTATCCAAAATTATTATATTGTATTTTAAATTTTTTTTCTACATATGAACCTTACACTACCCAAACTTAATCTCCACTACACAATCACCAACTCAAAAGATTTTTCTAGGTTCCAGACTTGTTCTTATCAAAGAGAGACTAATATAATTATGTTTAAATTGTGAAACTTACTGTATTTTTAAAATTTCAGGAAAAGATGTGCAATTTAAACATAGGTATACAATATAATAATTTCAGGAAAAGATGTGCAATTTAAACATAGGTATGCAATTTAAACATAGGTACACAATGTAATATAATAATGCGCCTCCGTCCACCCGCCGCCACTCACCACTACCATCCACCGTTCGCCACCACCACTCACAACCCACCTGCCACCACCATCCATCGCCCGCCACCACCAGCCACCCACCATCACCACCACCACCATCACCCCCCACCCACCCGCCACCCACCTGCTACCACTACCCACTTGCTACCACCCACCACCCTACCGTCAACCACCCACCCACCACCACTACCTACCTACCACCACCTGCCACCACCCGTTACCTACCACCCACCGTCGCCATTTTCTACCACCGTCTTCCGCCGCCACTTGCCACCAATTGCCATTTCTCACTCTTGTTTATATTTTAAATTTTTTTTAAACATTTTATCAATTACCAAACGCGTTTATAGTTTATGTTTTTCTAAAAATAAACAAAACAAAAATCAGTTTATAAAATTTTTGTAAATATAAACTAAAAACGTAAACGTTACCAAACAGACCCTTAGTTTTTGTTAATTTAATTAAGTCACTTCGATCACAAGCTATATAAGTTGAAACTGTATTAAAATAGAAAGGTAAATTATAAAGACGTTCTCAGATTTGCATAAAATATAAATTATTTTTATAATTTAAAAAATTATAAATATTTCTTTGTTATAATTTTTTATTTAACAAAATTAATGAAGAAAATATAATTTATAATTACTCTCTTATATAATAATAAAATTACTTAAATTATTAACTGAAACATATTTTTAACATTATTAAAAACTGTTAATTGAGTTGATGATTTATTAATAAAATGACGATTTGTTATAAAATTAAAAATTTGGGGGCGAGTTGGAATGTAATTTCTAGAGCCACTGGGAGCGATTCGTATTTTGATCAAATTTCAATAGTTGTATTTGTAATTTATCCAAAATATAGAACTAGCGGGTGACACACGTGATGGGTGTATAATTCAAATAAACAAGAATAAAAGAAAATAATAATAAATTAATATTTTAATGTGTACTTAACTTAATTAGTATAAGTTCCTATGGTTATGATTTCAATCCTTACTCACTTCTTTGTGTAATTTTTAAAAAATAAAATAAAAAAATGCTATCACGTAACATGAGAAGAGCAAAGATTTCACCAGAACAATTGAGAGCTTCCCTTAACAATAGTAAGGTCAAGTCTGGCTATCCTAAATAAGTACATATTTTTTATCTTTTTATCTTTTTTTCATCATATTATCTCTCTACTTTTCTGCATATATTTTCGTAAAAAGATAAAAAATACACTTATTTAGGTCATCCCAAACAACCCTAAGTATAGACAGAAGATATAGCAGATAGATAGATGTGTGAGGCATGCATGATGTAGACTGCACTCCTGTGAAATATCTTTATCATATTCTGTGTTTTGTTGTTTTGTTCACTTAGACTTTTTGTTTTAAGTTTTAATATTTTTCAATGTTTTTTTTATCTGAATCTAGATTTAATTGATTGATTTTCATAGCAATACGTGCACACCATCTAATATATATTTGTATACAAGCATTTTCTAAGTTTTTTTTTTTTTTTTTTTTTTTGGCATCATCAATTCCTTGTAGAGCCAATTGCATGCAATAATTTAAATAAAATGAAATAAAAGAAATAAGGGAGAATTATAAATAAATAAATAAATTCAAAATTTGACATTTATAACAAAATAAATCTTGAATTTGTAATTTTATCAATTCAAAACTTAATTTTTTGAATGTTTTTAATTTAAATCATTTGTCTATTTTTATCAAATAAATTGACATAAAAATAATATTTTAATCATTGAACTCAACAAAAAATTTAAACATTTTATATACAATACATTGAATTTAAAGACTTTTTTTTGTCAGTTTTACTTTACAAAAATAAACGAATGATTTAAATTAAAAATAATTTTAAAAATAGAATTTAAATTGATAAAATTAAAATTAAAAATTTATTTTATTATGAGTCAAATTATAAACTTTTTTTTGGTGCAAAATGGTTGCCTGCGAACCCTAATTAGTAGTAGTTGCTAGTGACTGTAGATTAGAAAGAGAAAGAAAAGAAGGAAGATGTGGTCGTGATCATCGTCGATATAAGGTACAAAGCAAGAGAAGAAAATAAATGACTACAGGACTTGTGGGTCTATCTAAAAGGTTTTAAAATTAAATAAAATACATACTTTTTAAAAAGGACTTGTGGGTAATTTGCCCAATTTATAATTATTTTTTAGGTTGAATTTGGGTAGAAATAGAGGTTTGATGATAAGACCGAGCCAGACTTGAGACACATATAAATTTCTTTATTATATAAGTCTATTTTGGTAACATAATTAAAAGTTAGCTTTTTTATTTTTTGACTTTTTTGAATACATCATCTCTCTATTTTTTTTTTATATATTTTCAAAAAAATTAAAAAAATTAAGGTGTGTTTGGTTTGTGTTTTGAGATAAATTTCAAAAAAAAAAAAAAACTGGAGAGAGGATTTAGAAATTTTTTTGGTTGATGTATAGGAAAGAAAGTGGTTTTAAAAAAAAAAATTCAAAAAATTTGAACCAAATAAAATTTTAAAAAAATTCTCAAAAATTATATCTGAAGACAAATCAAACAAATCTTAAAAAAATAATTTTTAACCTACTTTTTATAATATGTCATCGTATCAGTACGACGGGAAATATTTAATATTCTAGAGTATCACGTGTTTTGTACTCATTAACTAATTATCATTTAATATGTCTTCTTAATATTCCTAAACTAATCATCATTTAATATATCTATTCATATTTTTCAATCACCAATATAATAATACCATCATCATCCATCTCCCTCACCAATCATAATATTATAAAATATCAATATTTATATTTTAAAATTACCGATAATTTATTCCAGTCCGACTGCCGCCCGCGACCTGACTACACCGACGACTGACTCATACCTCTATACCAATCTCATCCAATTCAAACATCCCACCGCTTATTTGACTGTCTAGCCTATGTTGATTTTCCAGTAGGGGAATGGAATGCCAAAAATACTTCACACAAATATAATGTATATATATATATATCAATGTAATTTTACAAAATAATTACAAATTAACAATAAATTTTTAAAAAAAATTAATAACTAAAATCATATAAGATTTCAGTGTAGTTATAATTATTTAAGAAAAATTTAGTCAAAACTCCTCTATTATTATTTTTTCTTTTATAAAGTTCTTAAGAGAAAAATATATAATTAAATAAGGATAAAGTAATTTTTTTTTTTTCTTGAACAATGTTACCAGTGTAACATATTACATTCAAACACAGTAACATGTTACTGTAAACAGCAGTAACATATTATTGTCAAATAGAGTAATTGTCAAACAGAATAACATATTACTAAAGAGAAGTAATAGTTACTGTCACTACAAAAAAATTGTTTTTTGCGACGGCAAAACGCCGTCAACAAATACTCCACACGCCGTCTCAAAAGCTTTTGCACGGTAAAATATCTTTTTGCGACGGCAAGTGAGGGTCGCAACAAAAGGGGGTTGCAAAAGGCTTTAGCGACGGCAAGTGCCATGCCATTGTTTAGCGACAGGAAAATCTTTTTTTGCACGGCAAAATTCTGTCGCCAATAATGGATGAAAATCTGGGTTTTTTTTGCAATGGACAAGTCTCTTCCGCCGGTAAAAGAGGTTTTTTTGCGATGGCAAAAATCCCGCGCTAAAAAGTGTCGTCGCGTTTGACTATAGTCGACGGCAACCTGAGCCGTCGCTAATGACTATTCTCGACGACATTATAACCGTCGCTAAAGCCTTGTTTTTTCTATTAAATTCCATACCTTTTGCGACAGTATGTGCCGTTCGCAAAAAGTCTGGTATAATTCCTTTTTACGACGAGGTGTTCTGCCGTCTCAAAAAAAAAAATAAAAAATAAAAAAAACCCTTTTTTAAAATTATTAAAAATATAAAATCTACTTGTTATAAATGAAAAAATAACTATAAAAAAAAAATCCAAAAATTATATAATAAGATAAAATACATACATAACAAAAGTTAACAAATGATGAAAATTCATAATGTGTCCATTTATAACAATACATAAATAAAAATTCATAACAATAAAAATATGTCACTACATAAGTTCACAATAGTACATACATAATTTGTTCACAAATTTAAATAACATAAATCAAAATCAAAACCAAAAGTTTTCGTCTTGATTCTTTCGTGGGTTACAAAAAACAAAAGTTTGGTCATTAATTTACACGCCCGCATTCCAAAGAAGCCAACTGCTACTCAGAGAAATATTGAAAAAAAAATAAAATAAAAATAATTAATAACAATATAATGGTGTTAATTTAATTACAAGAAAAAATATAAAAAAAATTACTACTATTATAGAAAGAAATAGTTTAGCA